GCTCGTCATTGGGCCAATCTGGGGAGCCTCGGGGCCCATGGCCATGCCGCCCAGCCAGGCGCCGTGCAGATTCTCCATGGCCTGGCTCTGTCGGGCCCAGGGGGCGAGGCTGCTTCTCTGATAGACGCTCATGGGTGCTGCCCAGGGCAGCGCCTGCAGGGCTCTGCACTCCGGCGGGCGATGCCGCCTTCTCCTGCAGTCCGAGGGACTGGGGGCTTGTCGGGCTGGGCCCGTTCTTGCCACTGAGCAGGCTGATGGTACTGGACGTGTCCACGTCCGAGTCCCCAGACAGGGAGTCCTCGGGGGGCCTGGGGGTACCAGCCTCCCCGCCCTCAGTATCTGCAGCCTTGGAGAGCAGTCGGGCCTCTAGGGCTGCAAGGGCCGTCTCTGTCTCCTTCAAGATCAGGCGGGTGTCCTGGGCCTGGAAGTCCGTGCGTGAGGCCCGGGCGGCGGCCAGGTCCTGCAGCAGCGGGTGACTGGGGATGTGCGGGAGTTGGCCGGGTGCCGGGGGGCCGCTGGCCAGCTCCTTGGTGAAGCTCTCCTGCCGCACGAAGGCTGAGGACTCCCTGGGCGAGGCGAGGGCACCAGGCTCTGGGGCCCGCCCAGCCCGCAGCTGCACAGGCACCCTCCCGGTGTTGGCATGGGCGCCGTCTCTCACTGGGGTGGTGGGCTGAGCCACCCAGCCCGGGCCCTCCACACTCCCTGAGGCCACAAGTGACTTCTTGAGGAAGGCAGCCTCCCCACTCCGGTCTCCAATGAAGAATGAGGTAGGGGCCGGCTCCCCAGGGGTCCTGGGTGAGCGCTGGCCCCTGGCCCACGCCAGCCCCTCCTGGGGGCTCCTGTGTCTCTCCTGCTGCCCCGCACCTGGCTCAGGGCCCCGGCCACCGTCCGACCCACTAGCGTCGCTGAGGCTGTCAGGGTCCAGGTCCTCCTGGCCTACGGGGCAGCTGTCCTGCTCACTGCTGGGCCCTGGTGGCCCTGGCCCACTCCTCCGGGCAGCTTCAGGGCCCGCGGGGCTATCCGCCCTGTCGCTGGGCAGCTGAGGGAGGAGGCGGCGTGCACGCACAGGCAGGGCCCCCTCAGGCTCCGCCACTCTGCGCCCAGGCACGTCTTCTGGGAAGAGCAGAGACAGCCTATCAGGGAGGGGACTTGTTGCAGGCCCTCGGCACCGGGGTGGGGGGGCCACGACTGCAGTCGGCAGGGAACCCCGGCCTGTCCCGACCTCCCAGCCCTTGGCACCGTGAGGGTCCCGCATCCACGGTCAGTGGGGGAGCCCCGGCCCGCCCCAACCTCCCAGCCCTTGGCACCATGGGGGTCCCGCATCCATGGTCAGCGGGGAAGCCCCTGGCCAGGTCCCGACCACCCAGCACAGGCCTGGGTCCACTCACCTGTGAGGCCTGGGTCTGAATAGCTGTCAGCCAGGCTGGCCCAGCGGGACACCCACTTCTGGCCCCCAGGGGCCCCCTGCACTAGGAGGCCCTGTGGACAGGGTGGAGTGTTTTCTCAGCAGGAGGCGGCACCCCCAGCACCTGCCCCCAGAAACAGCCAGAAGGCCCTGGTTGCCTTGTTCGGGCTGGCCTGACTCCAGAGGGCCCCCTGCTGCCATCTGCCCAGTTTGCCCTGAGACGCTGGCCACATGCAGGAGCCCAGCTCGGCCTGGGGAAGGATGGCACCCACTGTGCCCAGTTCGAGGCCAGTAGCTGGGGCGCTGCCAGACTGCAGACTCAGCCAGCCCTGCCCGGGGACGCCCTGGGCTACTGCACCCTCCTCGGAGCCCACACACCTTCGGGTGAGGCCTCATGGGGACCGGCCGCCCTCGCCCCGGG